AGCCCTAAACCCAGAGTTGCTAATTTAGTAATTTTGGGGAGAAAGTAAAAATTTGCATTATTAAAATTTCTGGATGCTGCTGATGTTGTTTGTTTGGGGACCATACTTGGAGAAACACTGCCTTATATAATGGCTGGTTATGCCCCAAAATGATGACTTTCTATAATTTGGTCATGTCTTTTGATCACTTCTCAGTCTTAGTGGAGCGCTAAAATGAGATATACTTCTCCAGCAGTTTCATTTATGTTACAGGAGGATAGGTAGCAGACAGGATAAGAGCATGTCTCTGGAGCCCAACTTTTTGGAGAGAAACCCAGCTCCACTGACTGCTGGCTTTGTGACTTAGGGTAAGTTACTTACCTCTCTAGGTCTTAGTTTCCTTATATGTTAACACTAATAGTCCTGCACACAAATTTGTGTGCCAGTAGCTCCACAGTCGCTCCACAGTAGCTCTCCCGCTGCCCCGCCCTCCTGTAGCTCCTTCCACCCCCCAACCCCGTCTTTCCTCCTCAGAGCTTGCTGCCCTGCCCCCTCCTGTAGCTCTCCACCACCCACTTGTAGCTCACTCTCCCAACCCCTGCATGATCTGTGTCGTTACATGGTCAGTTGTTATACTTCACGGCGTAATGACCATTTGCATATTACATCTTTATAATATAAGATGAGGCTAATAGCAGTAGTTTCTATATGTTATAAGGTTGGTACAAACAGTAAAGTAGTTATTGTCTGGAAAGGTCCTTGGCACATATTGTGCAATACCTACCTGGGCTAAGGTCCTTCTCCTTCCTCAGCTTTGGCTGAACATTGAAATCACCTGGCTTGGTTCTTACCCCCAGAGATTCTGATTTAATTGATCTGGGAATCTTGAAAATTGCAAAGGGAGATTATAATGCTCATTGCCTATACTCATAAAAGCCTAGGTGACACTCACACCCTTGTACCCTCGTATCTTCATGTCATCATAAGATGGCCACCACAAAATGGCCACCTCCACATCATCACAAGATGGCTGCTCCCATGTTACAACAAGATGGCAACCACAAAAAGGCTGGCAGAAGAGGGCAGTTGTGGGCAATCAGGCTGGCAGGGGAGGGCAGTTGGGGGAGACCGGACCTGCAGGGGAGGGCAGTTGGGGGCAACCAGGCCTGCAGGAGAGGGCAGTTGGGGCAACCAGGCCTACAGGAGAGGGCAATTGGGAGCAATCAGGTTGGCACAGGAGAGCAGTTGGAGGTGACCAGGCCTGCAGGAGAAGGCAGTTGGGGATGATCAGGCCTGCAGGGGAGGGCAGTTGGGGGAGAGAAGCTGGCAGGGGAGAGAAGTTGGGGTTGACTAGGGCTCTATAGGAGGGCAGTTGGGGCAAACAGGCTTACAGACAGGACAGTTAGGGGTGATTAGAACAGCAGGAGAAGGCAGTTGGGGGTGATCAGGCCAGCAGGGAAGGGCAGTTGGGGGCAATTGGGCCAGCAGGGGAGCAGTTAGGTGTCATTCAGGCTGGCAGGAGAGTGATTAGGGGTAATCAGGCAGACAGGCAGGCCAATGGTTAGGAGCCAGCAGTCTCAGATTGTAAGAGGGTCTGAGATTGGAGAGGGTGCATGCTGGGCTGAGGGACACCCCCAAGTGCACAAATTTCATGCACCAGGCTTCTAGTCTATATATATATAAACCTAAGTGACCATTACGACTGAATGACTGGCCAGTAGCTATGATGCACACTGACCATCAGGGGGCAGGCACTCAATGTAAGAGATGCTCCCTGGTGATCAATGTGCTCCCACAGCCAACTTTCTGCGGTCAGCCAACCTCCCAAGGTTCCTCCCCTTGGCCAGCCAACCTGGATTGGCTCGGATCAGCCACAATTAGCTGGGAGGGTCCTCAGCCATGCATGCATTTGTGCACCAAGCCTCTAGTAGAAATATAATGATGGTTGCATGTATAATTTCATGTGTGTGTTTTTTTTATTTTTATTTGGGGGGGGCACATTTAAATAGGTAAACTTAATTTTATCAATGTTAATAATATTTTTATTGTTGATAAATGTAATAATGATATATTTTATTCAAGTCAATAGATCCCAAATATTATCATCTAAACTGATAACCAATATAACAATTTCATATTAAGTCTTTAAAATTGAGTTTGTATTTTATACTTACAGTGCATCTCAACTTAGACTAGCTATGTTTTCATGGCTGAGAAGCCACATGTGCCTAACTAATGTGTAACCAAGACAATAGCATAGGACTAAGTAATATGTAACCTGGGGAAAGGGTGCAGTTGATGATTGTGGACGAGGCAAAATCTGACTAACAACATAGAGATTCTACCAGCATTACTGTTCTTTACTTAAATATTAACAAAGTTGCTGCAGCTTCCTTCCTTAATGTTTGTAATTGCGTGTAGTTATTAAACATTCAATTTAATTCATATGGAGCTGATGGAGTCAGTTTAAAAGCATGAAGATCAAGTAAAGCAGATTAATCCCTGTGACCAGCAGAGAAAAGACCTAAACTAGCATTAATGGGATAGAAATTAAAACAGTGGACTATTTTAGTCTCTTCTCAATGAACCTGGGTAGAGGGGACTAAAGGTGTCCCAGAGAAAAGATATAGAATGGATAGTAGATAGTCCCATGACATTTTATGCAACTCTTTGATTCAGAACTTGCTCTTTAACTCCAAATATTAGTAAATATTAAGTAGATTATGATTTTTATAGAACTCTTATTTACAAACAATAATTCATCCTCTCTAGTCTTTTCTACAACTATCAACTAATAATTAAAGGGTAACCATGTATCCTATATAATAAAAGCATAAAATGTGAATTACCCCCTCCACTGGGAGTTCCACCAGGAGTTTGACCAGGGGGTGGGGCCAGCCAGCCAACCTCAGGAAGTGAGGCCCTGGCCTGCGATAGGCAGCCACTGGGGGAAAGAGACCCCGGCCAGTGGCAGTGGCAGGCAGCCTGGAGAAGGGAGGTCCCGGCTGTCAGCTGGCAACCACTAGGGTCCCTACCCATGCACAGATTCCATGAATTGGGCCTCTAGTATTTATTATAAATCAAAATAGATTTCCAAAAAAAGATAAAAATAAAGATCTGCAATTCCATTACTTAGAAATAACCACTACTGAGCACCTAAGTATGTGCTATTTTAAAGCTTTTTTTTGGTGTATATATTTATATATACTTAAATAAAAACTGATGCAATAGTGATTACTCTTTTATAGCAAGCTTCTTTGTCACTTAACAACAGCCTTATATGTTTGTCTTTATGTAATTTTATAATCTCCTTCAAAGTCATTTAAATACCTTAGTTTGGCCCAACAATACTCTACTTAGTGAATACACTATGATTGGACTTACAAGCTATTGCTCTCAAATTACCAATGCCAAAAGACTATCACTTGGTTTTCAAATCCAATGTGCTCTTGTCTTAGCTAGCTAGGGAAGATGCAGAAGAAAATAAAACATTTTGTCCACACAGTCTCATTAAACCTGACCCATTTTGTGTTTTTATCTGACTCGGATTACAGCCAGCTGGGTGCAGGTTGTAGAGGGTGCACTGTAATGCCATGGAAGTATCAAACAATTCAGCTGCAACTGGCACCATAATGGGCTGCCCACATTGGACACCAAGTTTCCTCACTGCTTTGCTAAGAAGGACCTATGAACCCCAGAGGGACTTTGCTTCAATTTAAAATGTCAGCAGCAGCTTGTGCTTGGATTTGTATTGCCTTAGGTCCATCTTGGTGCATGTTTTTCTCTTAATTCTGGTCTTAGAAGTCATCATTTCTTTTCAACAGCATAATTCCTGCGCTAGGTTGCTGGGTGGGTTAAAAAAAAAAAGTAATAACTCAAGAAGCCTCTGAATTTAAGGTTTTAGGTTCTCTGGCTTAGTAGTTTACATAATTATTTGTTCATGTAGCATTTGTATGTTACTTCTCTGATCATTTTATGCTATATGAAATTTCTTGGCAATTTCCCAAGTTCTGGATTCTCAGCATGTCTATGCAGCTATCAACTCCATGACAACAAAGCAAATAAATGTCTGAAGGGCTGTCCAGCATTTGAATAAGGCAAAACCAGCTTTTTGAGCTGCCAAATGGAATTGAACACTTTAATTTGGAGGATAATATCTCTTCTGTTTTATTAATTCTACTAAAGGCTAGTGCTTGAATTCATGCACTGGTGGTCCAGCTGTCATGCCTCCATTGAGGGTGGTCCAGTTGGGCAAGGGACCGTGGACAAGGCCAGTTTGCCAGATGGCTCTACCCCTGATTGGGTTCCAGAGACTTGCTCAGGGATGGAGCTTGCCAGCTTGAGGGGCTGCTGGTGGTCTGGTCATTCCACCATTCAGTCAATTTGCATATTACCCTTTTATTATATAGGATTGAAACCACTCACAATTCTTAAAAACTGGGAGGAGAGGCGAAGAGGGAACACTACTGAGGTATGGGTGGCTGGGATGGGGCCTAGTGGGTGGAGAAAGAGCAATAATACAATGGGTTTTACACATCTGTACTTTGAACGTAGCCACCTACTGCCCCATCAGTCAATGACTCAAGTGAGAAAGACTACAGTAAAATGCTGACAGTCAGAATCCATTCCTACATTGAGGAGACCTTGCCAGTAAAAAGATTGCTGAGGAGAAACTTGGAAACACTTTGAACAGCAATGGATTTCGGGAAGCTACTGATTCTGTTGCCAACCCTCCTTTTCTTATTTTTATTTTTATAGATAAAGTGCCACAATTAATACACATTGTGTTTATAAAGTACCTTACATGTAGGTGTTTAATTTGATTTTTACACTCACCTTGTCAGGTAGGCCCTGTGGACGAGCCTTACGATTATTGTTATGTAACAGCATACAACATAGCACTTAGATGCTGACATATGAGATGAAACTTGTCCTCAGGTGAGGGGCAGGCCCAGACCCCTGCCAGGTGTCCTGATCTCAGCAGAGATCTTGACAGTCAGTGAGAAAGACAGACAACTTACCCCCTTTCCTTCTTCCACAGAAAGAAAAGTTGGGAAGATCCTCTTCACAGATGGGATAGGAATAATTCAAAATGGACTCTCCTCTCGTCAGGAGACTTGCATCAAGAAACAACCCTTTGATGTCCGCTCCTAAAAGAAAAGAGATGGGCTTTACCTAGTGTGGGTTTTCCTGCATATCAAAGCATTCAGAATTTATACAAATATGAGCTCCAAGAACTTGCATTTCCAGCAGTTTGTGCTGCATAGGGAACTGTTTTCTTGATAAAACAGCATGTGGGCAGTGGTGCAGGGGATTGTGGTGCCAGCCCTGAGTATGAGATGAGGTGCTTTCACAAACTTGATTTGCTTGGAGGAGGTAGTTTATCTGCTGTGCTCCCCTACGCTGATGCCATGGCCCCTTAATGTGAGGGAGTCTGGCTTCTATCACTTTTCAGCCCCATAGTATCAGATATTCTCTGATAGCGCTGGGGTGTGGGCAAGCCTGAACATCCGTACTGTTGCTGGGCAGATGTAGCATAGTCACACAGGAAGCTTCAGGATGCTCTGCAGTGCTGGCTTCCAATTCTTTCTGAAACTTTCTTCCATTCCTCTTTTTATGTTCTGCTCCATTCTCCTTTCATTCTGCATTTCTCTGCCTATCCTCATAGCATTTATTGAGCTGCTGCTATAGGGTCCAGATGTTGTGTGAGGTTTGAGAAATACAAGGATGCATGAGAGTCTTTGGACTCTTGGAATGTTCCCTCCATCTCTGTGGACTGACTCTCCATGCTAAGTTTATTAAATTCTCTGCTCTGATTTTGATAAACTCTTTTAGAAAGGAGATATTCCAGTAACTATAGCAATATGATGATTAATTGTGATGGCATGACCATACAAATATTAACAATCAGAAAGCATTTAAGCTCATTGATTGGGGTGGAGTGAGAAGATATTGCATGCCTTTAACTGAGGTCGAAGAATTTATATGAGCAGTCTGGAAAATGAAACAAAACAAAGACTAGTCATGTTGCTGGTAGACTTGTTTGTTGCTAAAATAACTAAACAAAAACTCTCTCCTGAGCAAATATCAATACTTAGGCTCAAAGTATTTTCTTTCTCTGCCAGATATACTGATCCCAGGTGCTTATATCATCCAAATGCGTGCCTAGAGTCTTTTCAGTACAAAAATCACAACATTAAATGAGAGTTTTACTCTATCTGGATGTTACCCAAAGAGAGAACTGAAGAGGAAGATTGAAATAGAGTTAATTCCACAGAGTGCTGGGGAGCAGGGGCTAGCCAGCCACTCCAGTTAATACATGTAATTGGGTGTGTGAGCCAGGAAGAGGCTGTTTTATTTCATGTCAATAGTTTTACTTACTCAGAATGATTCCAAATCTAATGTTGATATTTGATTTTAAATGTTGGGAACACTGGTCAATAGAAAAGCCAAAATCTTGTGATGGATCTGCCAAGAGAAAAACAGCAGATTAGGTGTGAGTACACCATATACTCTGCAGACTCATATTCAAAATTCACACAAATATTATTTTTTCTATGTGAGTCACTAACATTGATTCAGAAACATACTGCCCTATACATTCCTTGCATAGGTCCCTGATACTTTCAGCAACCTCTCACAGTCTCTGTGAAGGCAACGCTGCTCAGTGTCACTTTCAGTCTGAGAAAGGAGCAGTGTCTTTTTGGTGGGTTACTCTTTACTTGTTAAATTTTTATCATTGCTTGAATCTTTTTATTTCCTGAACTTAGACTTAAAATTGCTCATTGATTGCACAAAACACTTCACAAAGTATTTGTTATTATAATTAAAACAGAAGAATCTATATGCAGATTTTCAAAATTAAGACCTGCCTTAAAAATTCCCTCCCATTTCCTCCCATCCTATTCAGTGTAATGCTTCCCCCCCCCACAAATATTTCACTATATGTAAGGTATCGTGTTAGATCTGATAAGGACCTCAAAGATCACTTTTTTATAGACAATTTCTACTTATTAAAAACTCTCCAATGGTTCATCTATCCCCTAGAAGAGTGTCAAGGGATGTTCTACCGTTCCCATCTCCACGCTCCATGTCACAAGACCGTCCTCCATTCCCTGAGGTTGGGGCGCAATGTAAGCACCCAGGAAGTTCTCACCATGCTTGAGTAATGCACGCAATTCCTCCCATTTATAATTGTCTCACCCCTTTGGGACATTGTCTAAGTACTAAGGTGTTGTTCATTCCCCTCTTCTTGGTGAAGGCTTCTCTGACAGTCCCCAAAACATTTGTTTGCTCCTGAATTCTTAAAACAGTTACGACTGAAATACTTTTTAAAGTGTATAAACATGTATGATCTTACACTTTGCTTTTTGATTTACCTTATAATGCAGAACTCCTAAAAGGCAGGAGCTGCTATTTTGTTTTCCGTTCCTTTTTCCTTTATGTTTCTCACTGGGCCCGAGAGAGGAGAGCTGGGTCTACATTGCACTAGGCACTGAGCTGCACACTTTATTTATAAGTTTTCCATTGAATTCTTCAGACTCCCAGCATCTAGCAGAGAGCCTCACAATCGGACACACAGCAAGCACTGGATAAATCACATAATGGCCGTGTAATAAGCCACTGTCTCTCAGCTCCAAACTCAGCCTCCCAACTCTTGCTTTGTGAAGCTGGAGCTCTTTAAAATCACGTTTCTCCTCTGCTAGAGGTGCCAGGGGGAAACTGAGGCCGAGCGGGAGGAGAGATGTGCTCCTTCCTGCATACTTGCTGATACTTGAGAGTGTCACCTGATGAGGGCGTGTCACCCTGTCAATCGCATTGGTACATGTATAACTCTCATTTGCACCTTCCAGGAATCAGCAGAGGCTCAGCTTTGCGGCCTAAAGCTCCAGTGATGACAGTTCCTCAGAAGCTGTCACTCCTTCCCCCTGAAGTGGGTGTCCCAGCCCCACAGGGCTCTTCTTTCAAACTTCTAGGTTCTAATAGCTCCAACCTCTGCCCTAAGCTCTTCTGGGCTTTGGGGTGATAACTACATCTTCACTGTCCCTTTTTTGCTTCTTTGGTTCTCTAGGAACTGCTTAGGAAATTCTCTATATTAAATTCTCTATATTAAAATAACTGACATAGTCCTGTTTTCCTGACCAACAAATAATGATCTTGAGAGATTGGTATGATTTTCCCCATTTCATAGATTAAAAAAAAAATAGACTCAGAGAGGCGTTATCAACCAGATTAAAACAAGAATTAAAAACAAACAAACAAACAAACACATAATTAATTGCCACTTCATGTTGTGCAGAGGCATTCACAAAGCAGAGCCTCAAAGATGCATGTTAATTACTTGATTTGCAAGATGGCCTGGAATATCTGTGTGCAGGCCTGTGGCATCTGCTAGTTCTCTTTCATAACTGGTTTCAATTTTAGCTGAGCTATGAGCTCACATTTGTCAATGATAGTGTGCCAGACAGTTTCATCACCCACATTGCTGACCTGGAGGATGCATAATTGTCTGTGGCTTTTGCTGTAGAAATGACTGTTAGGCAATTTCAGCATTGTAAACCGAATCTAGTGACCTTTAATCTGGCCACTAACTTTTCTGGGGGGAAAGCCATTTTCTCTTCTCATTTTACTTCAGAAACATCTCTGTGCTGTCCCATGGCTTCCTTCAGCTTGGAAAGGAGGAGCAGGGAGTAAAAATGCAATTGTTTCTGTTACATACTTGGCAGTCGGTATTGGAAAAGAGAGTCCAACTAACAGATGTTTAGAAAAGTACATCTGAAAATTGTGAATAAATTTAAGTTACTATCTGAGGAAAAATAAGAGGCCAAGTGTGTAATGCTTAGCTAGTTAGTAGTTACAGAATGATACTGTGTGTTTATCAATATTTAAAGAAATAGAATAAACTAAGGGCAAAGAAGGAAATAAAATATGTCTTTGATACTGGAAAATATTGTTAGGAAAATAATCATAATAAGGAACAAAGTCACACAGAAAGCAGTAGGCTACTTCTTTCTGAAGATGTGTTTATAAAAACAGAAAATTAGATTGCTGGAAAAGTGCCTTGGGTTTGGTGATCTTTCTTATAAGTTATTTCAGTTTTACATTTGAGAGTGAATATGCAGCTTTCAGTCATCTTGGGGGACAAGATATCAGTTCCTCCCATTCCTCAAGTCCATCTTCCCAATCTCATATCCTCTCCCTATTGGTTTGTGTCTGCACTCAGGCACTCAGCATGCCCTACATTTCACTGTACTGTCTGTAGACCTACATTCCTCCACTAGATGCTGCCAAGCAGGCACCCCAGCCTCAGGGCCCACATAATGCCTTAAGATTACACAGGTTCCACATAATTGTTTGCTGAATTAATAATAAGAGTTACATGCACTAATAATAAGAGTTACATGTGGTGTTGTGCATCATAGGAGGCACCTTTAGCGTCTCCCCACTAGATACCAGCAGCATGCCTGCCCCCAACTTCAGCTGTGAGGACTAAAAAATGTCTTTAGACATGGACAAATATCCCCTGGGGGACAGACACACCCTGTGGAGAACCACTGCTTTAAGAAATTGCTTCATCAGTTACCAGATTACCAACTATCTCAGAATCACCTGCCAAAACAAAAGGTGGTGGATTGCATTTTATTTTATTATTTTATTTTATTTTATTTTATTTATTTTTTCCCTTATTTTTTAAAATTAAATTATTATCTGTGTACATATCTTACCATTGCCCTCCCCGCCCCATACATGCCCTCCCTCCCCAGAGTTTTGTGTCCATTGGTTATACTTCTATGCATGTATACAAGTCTGGTGGATTGCATTTTAAAAGTCATTCTTTTTATAAAGAATTTGAACTGATGGGGGCAAGGCAGAGACTTGCCCTTGGGCACTTGCTCAGGTGATTTGTAACACACACTGGATTACCTGAACTTGGGTTTTGTGAAAGAGTAAATTGGAACATTAGTGAAAGTTGGCGTTCTCAGGCTACCAGGGCAGAGCGAATGTTTCCTCCAGCCTCATCATTGTATAGAGAGCAGCAAACAAACTGAGCAAAGAAGCGGAGCTTCATGGTAAAATATACACTTTGTTCAAGTAAAGTGTTTTTCCTTAGCCTCTAAGTTCCTTGTTGACATGTATGGCTTCCACCCAAGGGAAGATAGTACTTAGAGTGAGTGAGCTCAGTGTGCCCTGAATGGCCCTATTGCCCCCACCATCCTGGGACATGGGTGCATGGAAGCAGCCTCTTCCCGCCCTTACCTCCCTTGTCCCCGCCAATAGCTGAGAGCCAGTCCTCTGGGACTGAGAAGAGGCTCCAGGAAAGCAGAGCAGCATCTGCCTAGCTCAACAAGGAACTAGTCAGTGTGTCCATGTCCTGGAACTGCTTCTGGATCACTCACAGAGTGGAACAGACCTGGGTAAACAGGAGGGCTTAGCCTGTGCAGGGTCTAACATATCTCAGCTTCGGAAACATTCTTGTGCCTGAAGTTCTGAAGGTGGGCTGTGCTCTCCGGGGCGGGGCTGGAATTGTGCAGTAGTCCAGGAGAAGATAGAGGGAGAGGTTTTAGGTACCCTTTCCTAGCTCCCCTCCATGGTAACATCTGACATAAAATTATAGCACATTATGAAAACTAGGAAACTGACATAGATATAATCCACAGCACTTATTCAGATTTTACCAGTTCTACATGAGCTTGTGTCTGTGTGCTGTGTGCACGTGGCTTATAGTTCCATTGCTTAGGTTTTAAAACCTGGTGCCACTCCTCCAGCCTCACCTCAGCTCACCTCCCAGGTTTGTATCCAAGTCCATCCCCACACTTGTCCATGTCCTTGCTGCTGCATGAAGTTTGTTTCCCTCTCTCTTCTCTTTCCCTCTCCCTCTTCCTGCTGCCCTCTTCTCTAATGCTCTCTTCCTACCTCTCTCTTCTTCTCCCTCCTCTCCCTCCTGTACTTCTCTCCCCCCTCCTTCGAGACATATTCTCCCCCCCCCTCTCTCTCCCATTTTATCCCTCCCTCCCCCTTTCACTCTCTTTTTGTCCTTGCACCCACCCAGTACTTAGACGAATGACATCTGAGACCCAGAACACTGCTTTTCTTCTAATACTATACCTTAACCTCCTGGTTCACCCCTATAACCCATTACTATAGGAGCTGGTGTTGCTTCCTACATGTTCTGTGAGAGTAGAATACTGGCTGACTCTAGGAGTTAGAAATTACAAAGCATATTTCATAGCATGCTTTCAATAGAGGCACAGCTTGGGGCGGGGAGAGAAGGACAATAGAGAATGGAGAGGCTTTACCATTAACACACAGCTTAGCTGCACTGGCAAGATCAACTCTAACAGTTTATGGAGAGAAGAAACACTTGGGCAAAGAGATTGCGAGTGAAGCTAGTTTGCTTCTGGTTGCTTAATAAAATAGCACCAGGTAGCTTCTTGTTATTTAATAAAAGGGGTATATTAGGGTTCTCT